AAAAAGAAAAAAAAAAAAAAACCCCCCCAAATTGTTTGAACCCCCTTATGATTCATCACCCCCAAACTCAATCCCAGCCTTCCCTTTGTGGTATGGTACCTTGCAGTACAATTTCAGAGAGATCCATACACTTGAACACAAGTTATTGTGTGGAAACTAGAAAAATGCTTATTTTTGGCCCCTTTTTGGCCCCAAATTCCTAAACGTTTCAGGCAATTACCCCCAAACTCAATTCCAGCTTTCCCTTTGTGATATGGAACCTTGTAGTACAATTTCAGAAATATCCAAACACTTACACACAAGTTATTGTCATGAAACTAGAAAAATGCTTGTTTTTTGCCCCTTTTTTGGCCCCTAATTCCTAAAATTTTGAGGCAATTACCCCCAAAATCAATTACAGCCTTCCCTTTGTGATATGGAACCTTGTGGTACAATGTCAGAGAGATCCATACACTTACACACAAGTTATTGTCTGGAATTACAAAAATGCTTATTTTTGGCCCCTTTTTGGCCCCTAATTCCTTAACTGTTGGTACCATAACCCCCAAAATCAATCCCAACCTTCCTTTCGTGGTATTGAACCTTATGGTAAAATTTCATGGAGATCCATTCACTTAAACTAAAGTTAGAGTGCGAAAACCAATGTGTCTTCGGACGACGCCGGACGACGCAAGACGACATCGACGACGACGACGACGACGACGACGACGCCAACGTCATACCAATATACGACCAAAAAATTTTCAATTTTTGCGGTCGTATAAAAACAGCAAAATTTCCTTAAAATTACCAATTCAGGGGCAGCAACCCAACAACGGGTTGTCCAATTCATCTGAAAATTTCAGGGCAGATAGATCTTGACCTGATAAACAATTTTACTCCATGTCAGATTTGCTCTAAATGCTTTGGTTTCGGAGATATAAGCCAAAATCTACATTTTACCCCTATGTTCTATTTTTAGCCATAGCGACCATCTTGGTAGGTTGGCGGGGTCATCGGACACATTTTTTAAACTAGATACTTGAATGATGATTGTGTTTAAGTTTGGGTGCATTTGGTCCAGTAGTTTCAGAGGAGAAGATTTTTGTAAAAGTTTACGGACGACGGACGACGGACGCAAAGTGATGAGAAAAGCTCACTTGACCTTTCAGGTCAGGTGAGCTAAAAATGGGGAATGTGTCCATAGGACACAGATGATGCCCCCGCTTGCATATAACGTTATAAAGGGACATAACTCAAGAGCTGTAAAAGTGACGCTACCCAAATTTCTACTTTATCTGAGTTTTGTGGTAGTAAGCATTGTTTATAAGTTTCATAACATTTATTTGAGGCAAACTTAAGTAAGAGAACAGAAACGAAAAATTCAGCAATTTTTCCATTTGTTTATGGATAACTTTAGAACGGTAAAAGTGACGCCACCAAAATTCAAACTTGAACTGTGTTTTGTGGTAATTAGCATTGTGCATAAGTTTCATAACATTTTGTTGCGACAAACTGAAGTGAGAGAACGGAAACAAATATTTCAGCAATTTTTATACGACCGCAAAAAATTAAAAAAATTTGGTCGTATATTGGTATCACGTTGTCGTCGTCAGCGTCATCCGAAGACAGATGGTTTCCAGATAATAACTTTAGTATAAGGAAATAGAAATCAATAAAATTTTAACCCAAGATTTATAACCAATAAAGGAAGGTTGGGATTGATCTTTGGGGTCATGGTCCCATCTGTTTAGGAATTAGGGGCCAAAAAGGGGCCCAAATAAGCATTTTTGTAGTTTCCAGACAATAACTTGTGTTTAAGTGTATGAATCTCTCTGAAATTATACCACAAGTTTCCATACTACAAAGGGATGGTTAGGATTGACTTTGGGGGGTTATGGCTCAAACCATTTAGGAATTAGGGGCAAAAAAGGGGAAAAACAAGGGTTTTTCTGGTTAAAGGACAATTGAGACAATTTAAAAGCAGTGTAAGGGAGGTAATCCAAATCAAAATCCAAATCAATTTAAATGACAATGTTTGATTACCTCCCTTACACTGCTTGTAAATTATGTATTAAGAAATGATGATTGTCTGAGATACTGACCATAACTTGAGGGAAAGAATTATTTTTTGGAATAAGGGAAAGGGGGGAGGTGAAAAAATATTGAGGGGGACAATTTTTCCCATTTCAGATTTCAGAAATTAAAAGAAAATTTCTTCAAATATTTTTTTTTGGGGGTTAATATTCAACAGCATAGTGTATTGCACAATAGCAAAAAACCGGGGTAAAATAAATTTTTTTTTGGGGGGGGGGGTCAATTCCATAGTGTACATGTATTGCACAAAAGCAAAAAAATTGAATATAAATTCAAATCATATAACCAATTTGAAGTTCTTTGACTACAGTTATTCTGTGTCAGAAACCTATTATGTGTCAAAAATTTAATTACAATCCAAATTCAGACCTGTATCAAGCATGAATATTGTGTCCATTTTTGCCCCAACTTTTCAGGGGTTGGACATCTGCGGTCGTATACAGCTGCGCTCAGCGAAGCAATTTATTCCATTTGTAAATGGGGCATAACTCTAGAACAGTAAAAGTGACACCCCCAAAATTCAAACTTGATCTGTGTTTTGTGATAATAAGCATTGTGTATAAGTTTCATAACATTTGGTTGAGGCAAACTAAAGTTAGAGAACGGAAACCAACTTTGGGACGTACGTACGGACGTACAGACAGACAAGGGTAAAATTTAATGCCCCCTCCGCTACGGCGGGGACATAAATATTGGGTAGGATTTGGTAAAAATAGAATAGGAGTTGGTTGAGTACAAGTTGGCTAAGGTACGAGTTGTCGTGTACGGAAGCAAGTCAACTCGTACCATGTCAACTTGTACCACTTAATGTCAACTCGTATCAATGTAAACTTGGGGCATTTTATAGCTTGCTGTTCAGTGTGAGCCAAGGCTCCGTACTGAAGGCCCTACTTTGACCTATAATTGCTTACTTTTTACACATTGTGACTTGGATGGATAGTTGTCTCATTGGCACTCATACCACATCTTCTTATTTATATAATTTTGTACCACTGCGAACTCGTACCATGCAAACTCGTACCATTAAAAAGATACAATATACAAATGTTTTATGAATTGCTTTTGCAAATCTAATCTTTATTAAAAAATGTATTGATTTTCTTGAATTTCTTAATTACAGTACTAGTACATGTATTATCATAGACAGACTTAAATTAAATTGTTTGTTATCATTACATTACTTTCTATTATCATTCTAATTAATAAATTACATTCCTTTAATTGTATGATTATGTCAATAGTTAACTTATCAACTTGTTTAATCCAATATTACTATAATAATGAATAATTAAATATGACAGGTGTTATATAGCTTGGAATTCATTGTATAATGTTTATTATAAAAAAAATCCTCATTATCAAAACACAAGCTGATATGAGTCATCTCAAAGCCACATTTCTCACACTTTAATGCTAAGTGATAATGAGAACATTTCAAAATTTATAATGTAATAGTTTGATGAAATTGTGAAATAATAAATATCCAGTGTATATATACGAAAAAATGATAGTAATATTTGATGTTTTGTTGATTTTATATATACATGAATGTTGATGACATTGCGGCCAATAAAGCATCAAAATCAAACCTATTTTTTGTTATGTTATCATTGCTGCTAGTCAAGATACAATTAGACATAACACAAAAAAACACCAAAATAAACTAACTCTTTGTTTTTCCAATTAGCCAAGGAACAATCAGCTACAAATTGGTTGGTGCATTACATCTGCGCGTAAAAATCATTATGTTTGTGTTGAGCTTTTGATTACATTTGCACGCATTCTTTTACAGGTAAACTCAGGTAAATACAGGTTTTGTAGTATGCCTGGATTCTTCTGACTGTAGTGATGACCAAAGACTTGGAGGAAATAGGGAATCTAGTGAAATACCTTTTACAATTGTTTAAAGTGCATCGCCATGAAATATCCCCCGACTTGAGTGTTCTGTCGATACGGAAACTAAATCCATCTTACACTAATGATTTTTCCACCGATTTATTTCTGACAAACAAAACTCTGTGTGTGTACCTTGACACATTTTTACAAACTGACTTAAATTATTCAATAAAGCAATCACTATTCAGTAAAATTATGAAACAGAATACTATTTACTCTGATATATTCACAATTAAGTTACATGTATGTCTTAAGCCATTGCAGGATTTCTCATGATCACTGTACATTTTTTTAGAATTAAATATGAAAAAAATATAATTTAAATTTACAAATATGTTCCAAATTCATTATAACTTTAGTCATATTTATTATGAATTATCTTAATTTACCTTAAATGTTAACTGTAAAATGAATACATGTAAATGTAATCAAACGTAAAAAAATGTAATCCCCAAATGAGCGGAAAAAGGTAATGCACCCAAATTGGTCATTGTGACTTTCAAATATTATACTTTTTACAGACTTATAACAGTATAAGTTATTCAGTTTTTGGTCAGGATACTTCTGAAAAAGCACATAACAAATTTACGAATTATATTCTTGGTGTTAATAGAAAGGCCAGTAACATAGCTGTGATGTCAGAGCTTGGGTGATTTCCTATTTTTTTTACTATAATTTTATCCATGTTAATCTATTGTCATAGACTGGAAGTTTATAAAGAAGGATTATTATGGGATCTCATATATTTTGTAATATGCATTTAAGGATAAACTTATTGTCTAAAAATCGCCAAAGGATATGCTTGGTGTTTTATTGGTTTTTTTCTGAAAAGATTCGATTGTTGAATTTTTATATTCTGCGTAGGAGTTTTAGAGTGTTTATTGGCTATGCTTTCTTGTTGGGCCAAAACACTATACAAATCCTTGGCCAAAAGAAATCTCATCAAAATGATAATCGTAAACAATAAGTAATTCTTTTCGCTCCGCTTTGTCGTTATACATAATCTCTCTTTACTTGTCTTTAATTACCTTATTTATGATTCTTAGAGCCATTAGATTGGTCTTTTAACTATTTACTCATTACTGTGACTTTTCTGTTTTTCTCAGTTTCGGTTTCGAGTTGTCTCCCACTGGACACTGTTTGGAACCTCTCTTACTTTTTCCAATACTTTTTGTACTGCTGCTCTTTCTTTTCCTAAGCAACATGGAAATTGTAAATCGCCTGATCACATCTACTTTGCCAAATTATTTTACTAGTTTACCTATTCCCAAGTCAGTCTTTGGCTTTGTGCAGCTATCTGGTATATTTTTTTCTGCTTTTACATTTAATTACATGTAAAAATCACATATTTACCTGTTTAGAAACTCACCCCTGCTCAAGTTATTGAAACAGGTAGGGGTAACTCAAAACATTTGGGTTATAATATCCCAAGTGAACAAAATCCTTAATTTTGAATTTTAGCAAGAACATTCAAATTAGTGTATTTTAAGATCAATAGCAAGTCTTGGTGACTGCCAGAAACTGAATTTGAAAAAAAAACTTTTATTCTCTCAGGTTCAGTTTCGAGTTGTCTCCCACTGGAGGCTGATCTTAATGCAGCAGCAAAGTGGGAACAAGACTGGTTGATGGCTTTTCATCCTGACAAATGCACAGTCCTATCTGTCACGCAGACAAAACAACCATTTAAACATAGTTACATCCTTCAAAATCACATTAGAATCAGTATCATCTGCTAATTACCTTGGTTTTACACTTCAGTCAAATCTATAGTGGGACAAACACATCAATGATGTTACATTTAAAAAGTAACAAAACTCTTGGCTTCTTAAAACGTAATCTCAAAACATCAAACCAACATATCAAGAGTCAGGCATACCGAGCACTTAAGGCACATGTATACATCTAAAGAAAGAAACAGGCACTCTTTCTTTCCATTTACAATACCACAATGGAACACACTACCAATATCAGTAGACAGCTTTAGAGAACATCTCACTACCATGACTACTGCTGTGGACTCATTTAAATATCATACCTTTTGTACATAATTTTAAACCACTTAATTTTCATTCATCTGCATTACCAAACAATTTGTAATATATAGCACTGAAATTCCTTATTTACTTGTTGATCAATTTTTGTAATTAGGCCACGCATGCAGCAGTAAATAATCATCAGCCTGCTTGATGGTTTATTGTATATTCAAAGAAGGGCTTTCATGACATTGAACTGCCCCAAGTCAATTTGACCTAAGTTGTTCAATTTCAGTCAATCTGGCCCTAGTCATTACAACCCAGTCCATCTGGCCCAAGTAGTTTCAGCCCAGTCATTTGGCCAATATCAAGTTGATTTGACCCCTGTTAGAAATAATTAACATATACGGTTTAAAGCTGTTTTGACTTTAGTACAAACAATAGGCATGATAGATGGTGAAATGTTGTCGACATTGTATTAAAAGTTAAAATGGTGGTCAATCTGCAGTAGCTGTTGTGCTATTATTGACACATCTCAAAAGAATTTTGCAACACTCTCAGATGTGTTCATCCCCCCAAATGTGTCCAATCCCCCAAATGTCCTTTTTGCCCAAACCTGTCTACAAAATCAGATCGAGCCCAAACATGACAATTTTTTCTTTCCCCAAAAATTTTCTGATTATTTTTCTTTGCTCAAACTTGTTCGATGTTTTCCTCGCCTGATTGTGTCTGAAATTGTTATCCGCCGAAACTAGTCCACTCTACAGCTTATATGTCGCCTGTAATGTCAAAAATGTTTATAGCAAATTTAATCAACAGATATTTTTGAAGATGTCAGGTTTCTTGAGTCCATAGGAAAAAAAAAAAAAAATGATATTCAAGGGATTCAATACAGATGTATTTTTGACATAATTCATCTCCAATCTTAATTAGATATAAGAAGATGTGGAATGAGTGCCAATGAGACAACTCTCCATCCAAGTCACAATTTGTAAAAGTTAACCATTATAGGTCAAAATACAGCCTTCAACACGGAGCCTTGGCTCACACTGAACAGCAAGCTATAAAGGGCCCCAAAAATGACTAGTGTAAAACCATTCAAACAGAAAAACCAAAGGTCTAATCTATATAAAAAATTTGCAAGGGTTCCGCTGAACCCAGTGTCTCGCCTACTTTTGCTGTAAGTCGCAGGCTCAACAAAAATGGGGAAAATTTTTTTAGAAATTTTTCCTCTAGATACTATCTTTTGATTGTAAGAAGTTCTGTTCAAGTTTGATAAAAATCCAAGAAGGTTTATGAGTCTAATAAATGTTTTAAAAACTTTAACTGCAGACTGTACGTAATGTTAACTGGAATAAAACTAAGTCCATCTATAAGTAATATACGGAAAAACAGGAAATAAATTTTTACAAAATTTCCTTCTAGATACTAGCTTTTGATCATTATAAAGAAGCTTCTGTCCAAGTGTGGTACAAATCCAGGATAGTTTAAGAAAGTTATTAAAATTTTGAAAGCTTTAACCACAGAGTGAATGTAATGTTAACTGGCAGAAAAACTAAGTCCATTTATAAGTGAAATACGGATAAACAGGAGTTTTTTTTTAACAAAATTTACTTTTGAATACTATCTTATGATCACAAACAAGCTTCTGTCCAAGTGTGGTACAAATCCAGGATAGTTTAAGAAAGTTATTAAAATTTGAAAAACTTTAACCACAGAGTGAATGTTATGTTAACCGGCAGAAAAACTTAAGTCCATATATGAGTAAAATACGGATAAACGGGATTTTTTTTTTACAAAATTTTCTTCTGGATACTATCTTATGATTATAAACAATCTTCTGTCCAAGTTTGGTACAAATCTAGGATAGTTTAAGAAAGTTATTAAAATTTGAAAAACTTTAACCACAGAGTGAATGTAATGTTAACTGGCAGAAAAACTAAGTCCATTTATGAGTAAAATACGGAAAAACAGGATTTTTTTTTACAAAATTTTCTTCTGGATACTATCTTATGATCATAAACAAGCTTCTGTCCAAGTTTGGTTGAAATGCAGGATAGTTTAAGAAAGTTATTAAAATTTCAAAAACTTTAACCACAGGGTGAATATTTGTGGAAGCCGCCGCCGGCGACGACGCTGACAGAATGTAGGATCGCTATGTCTCGCTTTTGCGACAAAAGTCGCAGGCTCGACAAAAACGAGAAACGAGAAACACTTATGAACCACATCAACAAACGACAACCTTCCTGACTTAGGACAGGTGCAAACAAATGCAGCGGGTTTAAACGTTTTAATAGCCGCCAACCTTCACCCTACCTGTAACAATAGTGTAACATCACAACATAGAAAGACACACTATAAAATATCAATTGAAATTGACTAGGATTGTGTGTTTTCCTACTTTAGGTCGGTGGTTCTCTCTGGGCACTACCGCTTCATCCACCAATACAAACTGACCACCTTGAAATAGGGCAATAGTGCCAAAAGTGGCGTTTAACACCAACCAATCAATCAGTCAATCAATCTAAGGTTTCTGTAACACTCTCGACTGGAATTTATTTCAAACAACATTTGTGATAAGGAAACACTTGTTGATAAAGATGGACATGGCGTCCTTGAGTTCATTGACGTCTAATAAAGACAAGTTTGGGGGGATGGACCCTTTTCTGAGTGTTACATATTATTTCCACTATAGATAAGATATTTTTGAATATTATTTCCTAAAAAGTATCTTTTCAATAAAATTTTTTTGAATTTAAGTGAAATTTTGGAAGCAATACTATAATTTTATATTAGAATCCCATAAAATATTCTTTTATTTATTCCTTTGTTTGATAGTGCAAACAATATAAAGTGAAATATATTAATCATTAAAGACATCAAACAATACTGAAAAATAAACAATCATTGAACTATAAAAACCTGCTGTAACATATTCAGTTCCTACAAATATTTCTCCTATCATTGTCTCAATTGATACAACTTATTCACAGAGCTATGCACCTCAAATTGGCATTTTACGATCAGACCAAAGCCACATAATAACTGAGTCTTCTCAGAACCGTCTTGAAAAATGCAAATTTCCACATCCTGAATCAATTACTTTAATTTAGTATGGGCTGGATTGATCTGATACCCTTTAACATGTCTAAGGGATCAATTACACATTCATGTTTCTAAAAAGTTTCTTTCAAAAAGTTTACTCTTATATTTAAAAAAAAATTTTTTTTAGTTATTTTTCAGTTAGTTTAAATCCAATTTGGGATGATTATACCCAATTAGATGAGTTGTCCCAACCTACATTAAGGTACAGTATTGGGCAATAGATTGATACAACAATAGTTCCTTTTAAAATCAGGTAGACCCAATTGACTCAATCAACTCAATAAAACATTGCAGAGAATCTATCTTAACTATAGATTCCACATTGATCATGATTGAACATCACCTGTCAACTAAATCAACTCAATAAAAAATTGCAGTCTTGATCGTAAAGATAAATTGGATTGATAACCAACTGTTAACCCAATCAACTCATTCTTAACAATGGATTAAATTGATATCAATGAAACAACACCTGTTGAATCAATCGACTTCATAAAACATTGCAAAGAGTCTATCCGTCTGTCCGGTCTTGTTAGCGCTCTCACGTATACAATTCTTGCCAGATTATTATGAAACTTATATCATAGGTTGATATCAGCAATGTCTTGGACGAGTACGAAAATCAGTGCTGATCAATTATTTTTAAAAGAGTTATGCCCCTTGGAAACATAAATTATATGGAAAATTGCATTGTTAGCGCTCTCAGGTGTACAATTCTTGCCAGAATTTTCTGAAACTTTAATCATAGGTTTATATCAGCAATGTCTTTGACCAGTTCGGAAATCAGTGCCGATCAAAAAAATTTAAACAAGTTATGGCCTTTGGAAATATTAATTATATGGAAAATTGCCTTATGAGTGCTCTAATATGTACAATTCTTGCCAGATTTTTATGAAATTTATATTATAGGTTAATATCATCAATGTCTTTGACAAGTTCAAAAATCAGGGCCAATCAAAAAATTTTAAAAGAGTTATGCCCCTTGAAAATATTGATTATACAGAAAATTGCATTGTTAGCGCTCTCATAAGTTCAATTCATGCTAGAATTTTATG